TCGAACTCCTGAGCTCAAACAATCCACCCGCCTCGGCCTCCCAGAGAGCTAGGATTACAGGTGTGAGCCACCGCGCCCGGCCAATAATTAGTTTTTTATCTTATAGATTTGTCTGTGCCATTAGCTACACATGGCCATTAAGCACTTGAAACATGGCTAGTCCAAACTGAGATATGCTCTGGGTATTAAAACAACAACACACTATGTTTTAAAAGCTTAGTACAAAAAAGGAATGTAAATATCGCACTAATAATTATATTGCAGCCTGAACAAGAGTGAGACCCCATTTCTACAAAAAATAGAAAAGTTAGCTGGGTGTCCTAGTGCTCGCCTATAATCCCAGCTACTCAGGAAGCTGAGGTAGGAGGATTGCTGGAGCCCAAGAGTGTGAGGTTGCTGTGAGCTACGCTGATGCCACTGTACTCTACTCTGGGTGACAGAGCAAGACTGTCTCAAAAAACAAAACAAAAAAAAATTGATTCCATGTTGGAATAATATTCTTGATATATTGTGTTAAATAAAATATATCATTAAAATCAACTTCACCTATTTCTTCCTACTTTTTTTTAACTGTAAAAAAATGCAGCAACAAGGAAATTTAAAATAACCCAAGTGGCTCCCATTGTATTTCTATTGCACAGTACTATCATAGATGCTGAACTGTGTAAGTGTTCAAGCATATTTCCCTATTTGTGTTGGCTGCTAAAAAGCTTAAACCCAAATTTGTGCCCCATCCACAATACAGATGATTTAATGTCTACATTTTTATATCAGCCCCAATTTCCTGGCTGTATGTTTGTTCCTACCCTTATCCTTTTCTTTCCTATCTACTTCTAAGTTTGTGATCTTGGTAAATTTTACATACTCCCACAAGATGCCTAAAATCTTTTCTTTGAATGAGGCAAGAAATGAAATGGAGTTAATTGTTCCTTTTGTATTTCCATAGCATATGGCTTTCACTTCTATAATAGCACTTGTCTTTGCATAGTGACTTTCAGGTGAAAGAAAAAAAATATATAATAGCACTTGTCTCATTCTACCATGTATTATGATTCATTGTTCGCAGTTTTCCACACCATAAGCTCCTAAAAGACAGGTATTGTATCTTATAAAAACTAATTTATATATTGCTTTACAAAGTGCTTTCACATGGATTATCTCATTTAGTTCTCACAATAACCTGATGATGTTAATATTATTAACCACACTCTACTGATAAGAAACTAAGGCTCAGGGAAGTGTACTAAGCCAAGGGCCAGAACACAAAATCAAGTTCTAATATTAAACACTATGTTCTTTTCTTTCTACCGAATTGCCTCCTTTATTCATCATTTTCCCAGCTCAGTGATCAACCTAGTAAAGTGTCCTGCTCAATATGTGGGTGGGGCTTATGGTTCTTGTTGATTACTAACAAGGAGAACAAAGGAATAGGCATAACAGAGTTAAAAGGAGTCTTAAGGTCATAAACACTCTGTCAATGCTTGTCACCTTTTGACAAGTAATTGTACAGCCTCTGTTTGGACACCTCCAGGAACAATGGAGTTCAGTAATTGCTGAAGCAGCCCTGGCTCTTAACAAAATTCTGCCCCCACATAATTTCTACCAGTTGGTCCTGATTTTCAGACACACATAAAATAAGTCCAATTCCCCCAATATCTGAAGATAGATAGCTCTCATGTCTGCCACCCCCACTCAAATCTTCCCTTCTAAACCACTGCGGATATGGTAAGGAGACAAATGGAGTCCTAGGGGTACTTACACAGACACAGGTGTTATACAGGATGCTCAAGCAGTCCTTGGACATTTCATCGCTTACTGAAAGTGAAAGGGGAATAATTGGTTATTCCTCTCATCAAAAAGACAGTATGACAGTATTACGTTTTTTCAACATAAGAACTGTTACAATCCCCTTCAAGATGGTTATTTTCCTATTTGTATACCTCCTTCCAGTCCTTATCTACCAAAGATCTTCACAGTGCCCATCAGAACCTACAAACCAATTTGCTTATCACTTTTTGGTTTGATACAGTAGCCATTTTCTTCTTATGCTCCACAGTCTTCATAATTTCAACCTGCTGTGATGCCATCATTTAATAAAGCCATTTTCCCTTGTGTCTTGCTTAGGCTATATCATGGGTTTGGGGGTTTTGCTATTTAAATAGACTACAAATAAGCAACTTAATACATACGTGTAGTCTTTTTATGCTTGTATTAAACTGGTTCCTCAAGATACATTTTCAGAAGCAGAACTACTAGAATCCAAAGTATAAGCATCTTAATTGCTCTTATTAGAAATTTCCATTGAAAGGTCTACTAGCAGCAAAGATGCCATTTTTATTAATACTACAGATCACCAACTGAGTGTTATGTTTAGTTTTTGTTGTTGTTGTTGCTGTTATTTGTGTTGGGCAAATGGCTTTCAATACCTGACCTTCTAATTCCAAGTAAGCATTCACTATTTCCCTGTGAGCAAGAACGGGAGAGTAGGCCGCGCGCGGTGGCTCACGCCTGTAACCCTAGCACTCTGGGAGGCCGAGGCAGGTGGATCGCTCAAGGTCACAAGTTCGAGACCAGCCTGAGCAAGAGTGAGACCCCGTCTCTACTAAAAAATAGAAAGAAATGGTCTGGACAACTTAAAATATATATAGAAAAAATTAGCCAGGCATGGTGGCAGATGCCTGTAGTCCCAGCTACTTGGGAGGCTGAGGCAGAAGGATCGCTTGAGCCCAGGAGTTTGAGGTTGCTGTGTGCTAGGCTGAAGCCACGGCACTCTAGCCCGGGCAACAGAGTGAGACTCTGTCTCAAAAAAAAAACAGGAGAGTAGCAAAGAAAGGAAACTTAATTTTCATGACCCCCAAACCAGAAGATGACGAAACTGAGTATGAACCATGAACAAACTGTTTTGCTTGGGACTGCTTCGATTTTCAAAAACTGTTTTCATGCACTCTTATTCAGCCATAAATGCTAAAATGCTGGGTCTCCCTGTGCGATCCCAACGGGTAGCCCTTCCAAGCTAGCTTGACCACATGGGCTGCCTCATATGATCCTGAGACAATGTTGACATCCTGCATCCCTCATCACTACGTTTCAACCTACTGGAGCTTTCTGGTTTGTTTATTTAACAACCTCAGAGCAGGGTGAAACACCAGATTACCAGATCAGTATATCTATTTCTAGATGTTGCATTTTCAAAAGAAATTGGGATTCACTCATTCATCAAGTATTTACTTATTCTACTCTAGAGCAGATGAGAAAAAAAAAGTAAGCAAGCAAGAAAGTCTCAGCCCTCATGCAACCTATAAATCTAGTGGAGGGAAGAGAGAATAAACCTACACCAACAAGTAATTATAAGATGCTACTTGCTGGAAGATAGGGAACATGAGGGAATAATTTAAACAGAGTACAAAGCTGATGCATTAAAGATGAATATGAATCCTCTTAACCACAACTGCACACACAAATGAGACCTTATACACTATGTCCTATTGATGTTAAGGGCAAAAAATTTTTTTAATTAAAAAAAAAAATATGCAATGTTTGTAGAAGGGCATTCAGCAAATGTTAATTGAAGTGATCTTTGGTTTTTAATGCCAGAGTAAAGCACACTCACTCTTTTTTAAAAATTAACTATCGAGGCTGGGCATGGTGGCTCATGCCTGTAATCCTAGCACTTTGGGAAGCTGAGGAGGGAGGATTGCTTGAGGCTAGGAGTCTCAGACTAGCCTGGGCAATATAGCGAGACCCTGGTTCTACAAAAAATTTAAAAATTATCTGGGTGTGGTGGTATGCATCTGTAGTCCCAGCTATTTGGGAGGATGAGGTGGGAGGACTGTTTGAGCCCAGAAGTTTGAGGCTGCAGTGTAAGCTATGGATAAAGCCACTGTACTCCAGCCTGGGCAACAGAGTGAGACCCTATCTCTTAAAAATATAAATAAAATATTGAATACCTAAAAAGAATATTTATAACGTGTAAGTTATAAAGAATAATAATAGAACAATACCCACCACCCAGTTTAAGAAATAATGCACTACCAAAACACTTTGAATTTTTACTATATAAACTCTGGTAACGACTGAACTTTTTACAAAGAGCATATACCACCTCACCTGTATAACAAAAAACTATTAAGTGTTCGAAAAAATAAAACTAAGTGATCTTAAAGGTTATTCCTTACTTTCTCAGCTAGCTATATATGAGAAGAATTTCCAAAGAAAACACAAAAGTTGGAGCACAGGACCATTAGAAAGTACAAAGATGCAATTCTGGCCAGGTACAGTGGCTCATGCCTATAGTCCTAGCACTCTGGGAGGCTGAGGTGGGAGGTTCGCTTGAGCTCAGGAGTTAGAGACCAGCCTGAGCAAGAGTGAGACCCTGTCTCTACGAAAAATAGAAAAATCAGCTGGGCACAATGTCGTGCACCTGTAGTCCCAGCTACTTGGGAGGCTGAGGCAGAAGGATTGCTTGATCCCAGGAGTTTGAGGTTGCTGTGAGCTACGATGACAGCATTGCACTCTACCCGGGGCACTAGACCGATACTCTGTCTCAAAAAAAAAAAAAAAGATGCAATTCTTTTAGTCCAATGGTTTTCATGCTTTTTCTTTTAAACCACCAGATCTGAATTTCTACCCAGTATAGAATGAATAAAGAGAGATCTTTAGTAGGGGTAGAGAGAACAATTTGCTGTTGAATGTAAGGCATGTCCCTGTTAAGAGTTAGGAAGAGAAAGAAGAAAGCAACTCCTGGAAACTGCCACCGTATCAGCAGATTGAGACATAAGGACCAGTGGCTGACAAGTATACTTACTTTTCAGTTTCTGTCCCCGGATAGAGATTGTAGGCCTCATAAGAATTTCTACAAGGAGCTATAAAAACAAAAAAAAAAAAACAAAAAAAAAGGACAAAGTCTTCAAAATTCAAATCATAACTTACAAAACAATCTTTGCCATGACAACTCACGGCCCAAATATCTGTCACAGTATTGTAAGACCCTCTTGTTTTGGGAGGCAGTGAGATTCAATGGAAGAAACACTGTAGCAAAAGTCAGGAAACCTGGGTTCTAGTCCCAGCCCAGCCACCTATTCGCCATGTGAACTTGGGCAAGTCAATGCCCCTCCTTGGGACTCAGATTTCTCATTTTTAAAAATAAGTATGTTAGATTAGGTAATCTCTGGGATCCAATGTGGCTTTAATTTTTGAAAAGCTGCAGAACATCATTACTACTATGACTCTTCTTTTTTAGTTGAAAGAACATTTGCAAATTTAAGTTTATTAAAAAGGTCTCAAAAATATACCACAAATTATTAATACTGATTTCTACAGGGATTGGGGGTGATATGCACAGATTTTTAAATTTTACATGCTTTTAATACAACATACAATTTTGCTTAAACTGTTTAAAAAAAGCATGTATTTAAAAACCCATTCTGTTGAGAGAAAGGACAATTTATAATGATAAAAGGGTCAATCCATCAGGAAGATATACATATATGTACCTAACAACAGAGCCCAAAAATACATGAAGAAAAAGCTGACAGAAATGAAGGAAACAGACAATTCAAAAATAATAGTTGGACACTTTTATATCACGCTTTCAATAATGGACAGATAAGTAGGCAGATGAGCAAAGAAATAGAACACTTGAGTACAATAAACCAATTAGACCTAACAGACATCTGTAGACACCCCACGCAGCAAGAACATAAAACACACTCTACTCAAGTGCACAGCGATCATTTTCCAGGATAGATTATATGTCAGGCCACTAAACAAGCCTCAATAAACTTAAAAGGGTTGAAATCATACAAAGTATGTCCTCTGCCCACAATGGAATGAGATAAGAATCAGAAAGAAATGTGGGAAATTCATGAATACACAAATAATTTAAAAACAAGTATAAGACTTGTACAATAAAAACAAAACATTTTTGAAAGCAATTAAAGACAACCTAAAAAAACAGAAAGATATCTTGTGGTTTGTGGACCAGAAGAATACTGGTAAGATGGCAATACTCCCCAAACTGACCTACGGATTCAATGCCCTCACTATCAAAATCCCAGCTGGCCTCTTTTCAGAAAATGACATGCTGGCCGGGCGCGGTGGCTGACACCTGTAATCCTAGCACTCTGGGAGGCTGAAGCGGGAGGATTGCTTGAGCTCAGGAGTTCGAGACCAGCCTGAGCAAGTGCGAGACCCATATCTACTAAAAACAGAAAAAATTAGCAAGGAGTGGCATGGTGGTGCATGCCTGTAGTCCCAGCTACTTGGGAGGCTGAGGCAGGAGGATTGCTTGAGCCCAGGAGTTTGAGGTTGCAGTGAGCTAGGCTGACGCCATGGCACTCTAGCCCGGGAAACAGAGTAAGACTCTGTCTCAAAAAAAAAAAAAGAAAAAAGAAAAAAGAAAATGACAAGCTTATCCTGAAATTTGTATGCAAATACAAGGGATGCATAATAGCCAAAATCTTGAACTGCCAGTACAGAAATAAACCCATGTTTCTACGGTCAACTGATTTTTGACAAGGGTGCCAACACACTTCAACGGTGAAAGCAGTGTTTTCAATAAATGGTGCTGTGACAACTGGATAGTCACATGCAATGAAAGACATTGAAACCCTACCCTCATATGGTAAAATAATCTCAAATGGATCAAAGACCTAAATATAAGAGATAAAACTATAAAACTCTTAGGAGAACAAGTGGGATAATCTTTGTGACCTTGAATTAGGCAATGATTTCTTAGATATACACCAAAACCCAAGCAACAAAAGAAAAAAATTAAATAAAATGAACACCATCAAAATTTAAAACTTCTGTGCTACAAAGGACACCATCAAGAGCGTGAAAAGACAGCCACTGAATAGGAGAAAATATGCGCAAACTACATATTAGGAAACAGTACCCTGAAATAACCAATAGAACCCAACATCAAAAAGATAATCCAATCAAGAAATAGGCAAAGCAGGTGAGCAGGCATTTCTCCAAAAGGCCAATAAACACTTAAAAAGATGGTCAACACCATAAGCCACTGGGGAAATGCAATGCAAAAATCACAATGAGATACCTCTTCATATCCACTCAGATGGCTATAATAAAAAAGATAGTAACTACTGGCCAGGATGTGGAGAAATTGGCATCTTCATAAATTGCTGGTAGACATGTAAAATGGTGCAGCTGCTTTGGAAAGCAGGCAGGTAGGTTCTCAAAAGTTAAACGTGGAGTTACTGGGTCATAGTGTAACCAATAACCAGTTACTATGACCCAGTAACTCCACTCCTAAGTATATGCCAAGAAAAATTTTTTAAAAAGACAATTGAAGCCAGACACAGTGGAGCAGACCTGTAGTTCCAGCTACTCGGGAGAATCACTTGAGCCCAGGAGTTCCGGGCTGTAGTGTGCTACGCCAATCGGATGTCTGCACTAAGTTCGGCATCAATATGGTGACCTCCCGAGAGCAGGGGACCACCAGGTTGCCTAAGGAGGGGTGAATTGGCCTAGGTCAGAAATGGAGCAGGTCAAAACTCCCATGCTGATCTATAGTGGGATCGCACCTTTGAATAGCCACTTCACTCCAGCCTGGGCAACATAGCTGAGACCACATCTCTTAAAAAAAAAGACAATTGAAATAGAAAATGAAAATATATATCCACATAAAAACTTGTATTCCAATGTTCATAGCAGCATTATTAATCACAGCAGCATTATTAATAATAACCTAAAGTGGAAACAATCCAAAGGTCCATCAACTGATGAACATTTTTTTTTTTTTTTTTTTTTTTTTGAGACAGAGTCTCACTCTGTTGCCCTGGCTAGAGTGAGTGCCGTGGCGTCAGCCTAGCTCACAGCAACCTCAAACTCCTGGGCTCAAGCGATCCGCCTGCCTCAGCCTCCCGAGCAGCTGGGACTACAGGCATGCGCCACCATGCCCAGCTAATTTTTTCTCTATATATTTTTAGCTGTCCAGATCATTTCTTTCTATTTTTAGTAGAGACGGGGTCTCGCTTTTGCTGGTCTCGAATTCCTGACCTTGAGCAATCCACCCGCCTCGGCCTCCCAGAGTGCTAGGATTATAGGCGTGAGCCACCATGCCCGGCCCATATTTCTTGATAATAGAAAGACATGAAGTACTGACACATGCGACAACATGGATTAACCTTGAAAACATTATGTTAAGCAAAGCAGCCAGTCACAAAAGACCACGTATTTATTGTATGACTCCATTTATATGGAATGTCCAGAATAGGTTAAGTCTACAGAGATAGAAAGTAGATAAGTGGTTGCCCAAGGATGGGGGACTTGGGGAGGAAATGGCTACTAAAGGATACGGCGTTTCTTTTTTTGAAGTGGTGAAAATGTTTTAAGATCAACTGTGGTGATAGCTGCATAACTTTGAATATACTAATAACCACTAAATCATATGCTTTCAATGGGTGATTTGTATGACATGTGAATTATATTTCAATAAAGTTATTATTTAAAAGAGTAACAACCACCACCTCATGCTAAGAAACCAGGCATAAAAAGCCACATAGTATATGATTCTGTTGATATGAAATAACCACAGTAGGCAAATCCTGAGAGACAGAAAATAGATTAGCGACTCTCAGGGCTGGAGGGAAGGGAGAATGGGGAGTGACTGCTAACTGGTATGGGATTTCTTTTTGGCAAGATGAAAATGTTCTGGTAATCACTGCACAACAAAACTACTGAAGTGTGGTTAAAAGAGTTTACCTTTATGGTCTGTAAATTATATTTCAATAAAGCATTTATTAAAATTCTGTTAAACAAATTCTAAGTTAACAGGGAAAAAAAAAAATGATTAGAAAGGAATACTCCAGAATCTTAATAGTGGTTGGACTTTGGTGACAGGTCCAAAGACGGTTTTTCACATTTTCTGTAACAAACACCTTTTACTTTTATAATGAGGGCCTTTGTCTTCCCCAAAAGTTAATTTTTACTTAAATATATTAAAGCACCTTAAAGTAATCTATATGCTGAGGACATGACTAAGCCCATATGTTTAAGACTTCCAACATATATATGTACTTTATATTTTACTTCATTATTGTTTAGATCAAGTTAGGAACAATCTCAGAATGAAAACAAAAAACTCTTCTAGCCCCTAAAGGCAATATTTGGACAGTAGGTCCAAGCTACCTCAAGCTAAATAGAAGAAAAAAAGATTCCACAGCATTTTTTTTAAGCACAACAGGCAAATCTTGAGGCTAGATAGTTCTGCTAGAGGATCTGAGAAAGCTTCTGCCCATCTGAAACCAGCAACAAATCTTTAGAAAGCAAATCCACATTCTTGAGATCGGTCCTGGCATGAATATGACACTATAAATCAACATCCTAAATTGACAGAGATGGGGGAACATGTGTTGTTTGAGCTTTAAACAGCAGATTAAAAGTAAAAACCCTCAACTATCCCTGCACCACAGACTGTCAAATTCTGGAGAACTGTTGGGCTCAGCTTTCTGCACATCTGTATTTAATGTTAACTGTACTTACAAGAGAGAAAAAGAAGTCTCATGACTTAGGGCAACAATGAAAGCTGCCCTGGATGTAGGCCTGTTTTGTATAAGAGACCTAAGGTTACCCTCTAGAAAAGTTGGAGTAATTATTATAAAGTATATGCAGTTTTATAGCCTGCTTTTTTTCTGCCATGAATTTTCCCATGTTATTATTATATTAATGGCTTCATAAAACTCAACCAAATGGATAGAATAACTATTACCTTCTCTTGGTGGATACTTGTAGTTATTACAAATAATGCTACACTAATTATCTTTGTATACAAAGTTTTATCTCATTTTAACTTATATCTTCAGGAGAGAATCACAGAAATGGAAACAACACACAAAATGAG